TATCTCCTTTGTTGTTCATTTTGGTGATGGAGGCGTTGGGGTGTTTGTTGTCTCGAGCAATGCAAGAGGGCCTGTTGCAGGTTGTGGGAGTAAATACAGTACCTCTGACGATTTCCCATTTGTCTTATGCGGACGATGCACTTATTTTTTGTGGTGCAGATGTTGTTTAGATTGGCCACTTGAGGTGTGTGTTGTTGTGTTTTGAGGCAGTTTCAGACATTCGAGTGAATCTAGCAAAATCAAAACTGATTCCAGTGGGCGAGGTGGAGAGGACATCGGTGTTGACAACTATTCTGGGGTGTAAGATGACATCTCTGGCAGTCTCATATTTGGGGTTACCTCTCGGGGCGTCCTTCAAGGCGAAGAGGGTTTGGGATGGGGCGGTGGAGCGTGTGCAGCGGTAGTTGGCTGGGTGGAATTGGCAGTATTTATCAAAAGTTGGCAGACTCACGTTGATTAAGAGTGTCTTATCTAGCATTCCAACTTACTTTATGTCTGTTCATGTCATTCCGGTGTCAATGGCAAAGCGGATTGAGAAGTTGTAGAGGGATTTCCTATGGGGCAATGGGGAGGAGGGTTCTCATCATCTGGTGCCTTGGGATCGGATTTGTCGTCCCGGGGTCAATGGGGGTCTGGGGATTCAGAGGTTGGTTATGTTTAATGTGGCTTTGTTGGGAAAATGGTTGTGGCGTTTTGTGGCGAAGAGAGACCGTCTTTGGAGGAGGGTGGTGGTGGTGGCAAAATTGGTGAGGTGAGGGAAGGGAAGGGGATGGTGGAGTTCTGGGCGGGTGGTCTAATCACATGGCCATGGTCTATGGAAAGGGATTTGGTTGGGGTGGGAGGAGTTCTGGAGGAGGGTTAAATTGAAGGTAGGAGTGGAGGATAGAGTTCGGTTTTGGCGGGATAGGTGGTGTGGTTACCTTTCCTTGGAAGTGTGGTTCCCTTTGATTTTTGGAATTGCCGTTAATACGGAGGTGATGGTGGATGCTGTGCGGTCTGGGTAAGTGGATTCAACGTTTTGGAATGTGCACTTGTGTCGTAATGTACAGGATTGGGAGCAAGACTAGCTGCTGGAGTTGGGTTTTTTATATGAGTTGCGTGTTGGCGGGTTGGGACTGGATGCTTTGGAATGGGATTGCCCTAGGGCTAAAGGAAAGTTTTCTCTTTCCTCATTTTATATGTGCTTGTTCACGAGGAGGCTGTTGTTTTCCCTTGGCAATGTGTTTGGGTGTCAGGTACATCGTCCAAGGTGTCCTTTTTCGTGTGGACGACAATGTTGGGATGTATTTTGACTTTGGATAATTTGATTCGTCGTGGCCATATTTTGGTCAATTGGTGTTGCTTGTGCTGTGGTGATGCGGAGTCTGTGGATCATTTGTTGGTTCATTGTCCGGTCGTTTTTTGTCTTTGGATGCCTGTTGTTGCGACCTTTGGCTTGGTTTGGGTGCAGCCAAATTTAGTCAAGGCTGTTCTACAGCGTTGGATTGAAGTCGTGTTGGGGGGCGACGTCGGAAGGTGTAGATGATTGCCTCTCATTGTCTTCTATGGATGGTTTGGTTGGAGCGTAATAGGCATGTTTTCTAGGGGGTAGCTCATTAGGTTCCTTGGTTAGAAAGACGCCTGCTTATGGTTTTGTATAGTTGGGTGACACGTTCGGTTAATCCTGATGTTTTGGCTTTTGTAGATTTTGTGGAGGATTTGATTTGTTGATTCCGTGAGCCTCGGTGGCTTTCAGTTTTGTATTTCTTTGCATCATTTTGATGCTTTTGTAATAAAGTTTAGTTATTTATCCAATTTTTTTATTTTATTTTTATTTTTTTTAATGTTGTCATGGTTTATTTACTTTGTTTTATTTAAAATGTATTCTTCTCTTTTTTTATTTATGTTTTTAATCTTTTTGATCTTATATAATACTGACAAAATTGAAAGGAAAGCTTTATAAAACATCTATTTATCTATCTATAAAATTAAAATACTAAAAGGACATAATTGTATGGCTTAAGAACAACTAAGAAGTATGTTCATGAAATGAATGTAGCTTAGATGAGAATGCTTAAATGGATTTGTGGTAAGAGTATGAAATATGGAATTAGAAATGAATATCTTCGTGAAATAGAGGACCAATTAAAGATAACTTTAGAGAGTCAATGCTACGATGCTTTGATTATGTACAATGAAGACTTGTAGATGCAATGGTAAGGAAAAGTGATATGAAAATCTAAGGGATGGGCGAAGACTTAAATTGACATGGGATATGATTGTAAAACAAATGGATTTATTTAATTTAATTGAGTATATAGCCCTTGACAAAGCAAAATGGCCACACAAAATTCATATAGTTGACCCCACTTGATTGGGACACAGCTTAGTTTGGTTTGGATTGGTTTGATCTTATACATGAAGCTCATCAATATTCACTTTAGCTCTACATTATAATATTAGTGATTTTTCTATGATTTTACAAATCTTTGCACTCAAAATTGAATGTATTTCATTTTTTCTTTCTTTCTATCTATTACACTAGGATTTCATTGTTCTTTAAATTTTTATGTATTGTACTATCAGTTATCAGTTTGAGTTTGTTTCTTGCATATAATAATTCTAATGTTTCTCTGTCTTATTTCCTGCATAGAACATTCTAATTTGTGTTCGAATTTTGTTCTCTACAGTACGTGCCTTGTGTGGGGGATAATGTTCTTGGAATTGTGGTAGATTCCAAAGCTGATATAAGCACTCTAATCATTTACATCATTTAATGTTATTGGTTTATTAATTTCAATTATAGTTAAACCTTCTATTTTTCTGATTAGCTTATCACTGCAATTAAAGGATGTGTTTTGGTTCTCCATTATTTGTTATAAATATATTAAAAATTTTCTTTCTATCAGATTTCTGTGTTGTGTAGCTTGATAGCCTATGTAACACAAGCATTGTATAAATCTCTCTTTTTATCACCTTCTCCTTTTGTGGCATTAATGTGGATGTTCATTTTGACACCACTCGACACGAATGATTACAAAAGTTTGAATCATTAAGAAACTTCTACATTAAGAAGGGGCAAATGACTATTGTTTATTTATCCAAAGAAGAAGAAGAAGAAGAAGAAGAAAGGGGCAAATGACTATGATCACAAATTTGAATAATTTAGAACCTAATACTCCATCTGGTAGGATGGATAGAAAATTGAGAGCAAGGGAACGTATAAGAAATGGAAAAGATTAAATCTGAGCACTCTTTGATCATCGGTGAGGATATGGCTTCTTTTCTAGGGGAATTTATTTGGAAGTCTGGTGTGCCAACAAAGCTCATTTTTTTTTGGGTGTATGTGCGTGTGGACATTCTCACTATAGATAACTCGGTGCAGGATGCATTTAGATTACCTTTCTATTCACTTGTCATTCCCATTTTAGGGTGACCGTTAAAAGCTTGAGCATCTCAAGGGGTTCTTTTCTCAGTTAATCAGATGAACAAATAGACCTGGTGTCAGTAAACATAGGCTGTTTGTACCTCTGCTGCCACGGAAGCGGAAACAGGCTTATCCTGCAAACCCTGCAACAATTATTTTGTGTGTTCTGTTACAAGAGGGAGAAAAACTGAGAAATCACTTGAGATCATTTGAACAGATCTTACTTGTTGAGGATCCTTGAAAACATGCAAACTGTTGATGAGAACTATTGTAGTCGTGGGGAGTGATCCAAATAAATATGTAGATCACAAAGTCTGAGAGTTTATCTAATGGGGTAGCTATGAAGCATGGACACTCCAAAATCGGTGCCGTGGTGGTGTTCGACACGAGGACACGCCGGGGACACGTACAGGACACGCCAGATGGCGTGTCCCTTTAATTTAATGATTTTTTTGTAGGGGACACGGTGGGGATATGCGTGTCCATATCGGGACACGGCATGAGACGCAGCGGGGTTGACTTTTTTTTTTTTCTTCTTCTTTTGCCACTCTTATTTGGTGTTTTTGTGAAGAATATTGTTGGATGTTGAATGTTTTCCCTTCTCGTCTCCGTTCTTGTTATTGTTTATTATGACTTTTTTGTGAATGAATGATCTATTAATTTGTTTAAATGTAGTGGTTATATTTATTGAATTAATGTTACTATGTTAGTGTTTGTTAATTTTGATTTCGGATGAATGTAACATGAATCTACATAACACATAAAAATATATTAAAAAAAATAAAGTCGCCGTGTCTCCCGCTGTGTCTGTTTTCCCATTTTTTCAAAATTGTCGTGTCCCGTGTCGGTGTCCGTGTCTGTGCTTCACAGTGGGGTGCTTCACAGTGGAGTAGTATCGGGGATTCTTTCTACATCTCTGGTTAGAATGCATCAACCTTGTCATATAGTTAATTGAACAAGGTTTTTTTTCTTGTCAAATCAAAGTTAATTTTGTTCTCATGTGTAGCTTTAATCACTATATAATCTCAAATTTTACCTGAATACTATAAGTCTTGATGCTTGCTGTTATATTTTCCTGTTTTTTTATGGCTAGAAACTTCTTTTCTCTTTGTAGAAGTTGCTTCTGGCATCAATTTCATATTTTCTTTTCTGTTGAAAACAAAAATGTTAAACTTGATTTTTGAGGGGATAGTGTTTGGATGGCTACGTTTTTAAGACCTTTCTTAAGGACTCGTAAAAAAGGGTCTTTTTGTATTTGTGTCAGAGTTATGCATGCCACTGTTCTTGCCAAACAGGATAGAGTTTAGACATCATGTTTCTTGCACCACATGTATATTTTTTGACATCCTTAGTGCTCTTATTGAGTTTATGTATGATTGCTCTAAAATATTGGTAATGTTTGTATCTCTATTTGCCTGTTTTGGGTTGTATGTACCTCCTTGAAGAGGAATATTTGATGATGTAATATATTTCACTTATCATGTTTGTTTTAAAAAACAAAAATCACTAGTATCCAATTTATTTTTCACTTTAGTATCTTTAACGCGAACTCTTGACTCAATTCTTTGCTCTATTCATTTCAAAACTTCCTTGTGGATATAAAAGGGCCTACATTGGCATTTTTTCATGTACTTTCATTTGAATGAGGAACAAGGAGAAACATACCCAAGTTTGAGGTGCAAGTTTCACCATTTAGAATGTTTTGACTAATGCACTATGCTATTCTATTTATTGTTGATTGATGCCCCGCTGTTTTCTCGTTAACTTGGGTTATATGACCTGAAGATGGTTATGATGACTATGACCATCTCAATCTTGTGTTCATGTTCCATGATTGGATTGCAAAACCTGCTTAAGGAAAAGTGAATTTGACCAACAGATTGTTTGTTTAGTGCTAAGACCAACACTGAGAATGGGAAAACTGAAAAAGAGTAAATCAAAGGCAGGCTGGGATTCCCATTGGATGTGGTTTGGAACTGCTGAATATATGCACCCATAGTAGTTCAGCAAAACTGTCCTAAAAATTGGAACTTATCGGTAATTTTTTCTTTTAATATTAATGCATCTCAGTTGGCTTAACCTTTATCTTGCAGGTAGGTACTTTGATCTATGTTCGGGTTGTGAAGGCAAACACGGGCATGAATCCCGAGTTGTCTTGCACTGATGGCTGGTTTTCATTCTGGACTTCCAACTCCATTCTATATATGGCTTCCATGTGTTGCCTTCTTTTTACTTGTAAAATTCTCGGTCGATTTAAGATTCTCAATTGACCTATAGTTTCTGAAAAACTATTCATGCTTTGTAGCCACTGGGAAAGCAGCGGAGTATGGTCCCCTTAAAGATGGCTTCACATTTGAGTCATCAACTGGCCTTGCCCGAATGTGAGATTTTCCTTCTCCTTTAATACATGGATATTTCAGTATTTCCAACACAGAACCACTCTGTTTGAAATCTGCGTATTGAGATTTTCTTTCAGTTGTGCTGGCATGTTGGTTTTTTCGTCTTCTAGGCTGCTCAGCTCCGCAACATGTCCGGTTCTTGAAGGTCTTGGGAAGAAGCTCTTCTTTGAGATAGCAGTTGGTTTAAATGGCCATGTTTGGGTATGAAACTTGCGTTGCTTCCTTATTGTAGTTGGGTTGAAGAGGTTCCTTGGTTCAAAACTATTTTATTTTATTTTTGTGGAAATTAAAAAATAACCCCAGGTTTAACCCTATTAATAAATTAAACTCCCCCACTACCAGCCACCCCTCACCCGACCCTGCCACCACCAGTTGCGTGAGCCATCCCTAGTGCCTTCCTCACCCTCCCTAGACCTCCACTTCGCCAGCTCCGCACTACCACCTTCCCTTCATGAACCCCTCCATCTAATTGGGAGAAACCCTTGATTTTTTCAACTATTGATATGGCCAATGAACTGTTGCAGAAGGTCGGATCCTATGTCGTCAAGTACGTAGTAGGATTGATGATGGGTGGTTTAGTGGATGGTTGATAAAGGGTTGTTGCAATCTAGTTTGGTCAAGCTTAAAGTTGGATTGACTTCAAGTTTAAAAAGCGAGTGTGAGAGTGCCACGTTACTGCATAAATTTTATAAGAAAAACAATTCCTTGATGACTATCATCATCATCATCATTGTGTTCTCTTCTTCCATTTCCTTTGTGTATTATGATCTTTACTTTCTCTAGGCTTTATGCCATCTATGCGGGCTGAGCCAAAAGCTCTTTTGAGAAGAATTTATTCTTGCTATTTTAATATTTGTAAATATAGTTTGGATTCTTATTTTTAAAATAAATCACTTTCTAGTACTGATGCATTCTTATTTTCTCAGTATTTTTGTATCAATGTAGGTGAACGCTGAGGCTCCATCTACAGTCATCCTTGTATCAGATGCAATTATGAATTTAGAGTCGTCGAGTGGGGTTCAGCAAAAGATTATGGTGGAGAAACTGCTCCAGAGAGTTCAGTGATCAAGTCAGTCCATTTCATTTGTGATTTAATCTCCACTCCTTTAAGTTATTTAGGTACAAAGCAGCTGCAAAAAATTAGGTTTTAAAATTTTTATTCTATGTTATTAGTATACTGTTTTTATTTGGGGTTAATTAGTCCCGATAATTTTAATTTGAACAATTTGGTCCATACACTTCAAGTCTAGATTCAATTTGGTCATTCTGTCTAAATTGAAGATTAAAATTAACAATTTTGGGACGTATGTCAATTTTCTAAATTGTACATAGAGACAAAATTAACAAAAATTTAGATGGAAGGATCAAATTGAAACCAAACTAAAAGTGAATGGAACAAATTGTTCAAATTGAAACTATAGGAACTAAAGTGAATTTTTTTTATCAAACTAGGGGGAAAAGTGTAATTAACCATTTTATTTGTTAAAATGTGGTTTCTATATTAAGACTATGGGTATCACTTTTGTTAACAACAAATTATTAAAGTTATCGTACTGTTTAGTTGCAAAAAAACTGCAGGTTGTCTCTTCATATCGGAATTAGTTTGTCTCTACAAAAGTGTTCTAGGTCTGTTCAAACATAGGATACGCGTATCCGTGAAGTGTTCCTAAGAAAATAATGATTTAAAAAAAATTTAACGTGACGTGACGTGACATGTCTGACATGTAGACATCTGTGTCCATGGCCTGTTGGTGTCTCATTCATGTCGGACACGAGCACCACGCCCATTTTGAAGTGTTTCTTGCTTTCTAGATTGTTGAATGTGTAGTATTAGATTTGTGGGTTTGCAGCCAGGTTCTTCTCACTCTATCCTCTTTCTTCTCTGACTTGCTTATGAGCCCAGTTTTTTGTTTTTGCCAGGAACTGTGATGAAAACATGATGTGGTTGGAAATCCACAAGATAGAAGATGCCCCTTTTGGAGGTGCAATGACTTCAACCTTTCATTCGCAGGAGGAGAGAGATGGTGTAAAGGAGGAAGTTGACATTTATTAGTTCCCAACAACGTTAGTGAGACTGACATGCTTGTTTAGCACTCTGTACCCTGAAGAAGTTGGGAAAATTTAATAGTATTCACAAGGAAAGCTTTGAAACAATTTGATGGTAGTCACCATTTCTGAAACTTGAGAGAGGGAACGTTTACTTTTGATGACTAGTACGGTTTGTCATAAATGATAAAGAAGTGACGTGTGTAGTTTGTCTAAAATTTGATCACCGACAAATACACTGATCATTATTTGTTTAATTCGGTGTATGTAAACTTATTGGAAGAATTTAGGAGAACTAGTTAATATATTTCATGTGGTTTCTAAACATTTGAAAATATGATTTGTTTTGCATTGGTTTTTTTAGTTTTTTTAGTCTATTTTGTTTTTTTGTGAATAAAAAATGTAGGAGGTGATGTAACTCAAAATGAGTAAAAAGTTAAAAATTGGCTTTTTTTTTTTCTTCCCAAAAGACCCCTTAGTTGGTTTTAGTATTTTCTTAATAATAATTTTCAAACAGGGAATCAATCATGTTTATCGCGTAGGAGATGATACAAATGTAGTGACTGACATTGTCACAATGCACAGTTCTTTTGACCAACTTGGGAGGAAATTTAGACCTTTTGAATTTTTTGTTGGTAAGTTGATTTTCAAATCATAGATAGTCGAAATCAAATAGTTATGTTCGGAAGTTGATTTTTGAATCAAATAGTTTTGTTCTGAAGTTGATTATGAACAAAAAAAATTGTGTATTGAGAAAAATGCCACTAGAGCTTTGTATGTGTAAAATTGTGTAGTGACATTTTTGTTGTAGTGAAGTGACACTTTTTTTAATTGAAATGCCACTAGAGCTTTGTATGTTTGTGGCTCTATGACATTTTTCTAAAAAAATGTCACAAAATATTCTTTTTGTGACATTTTTTAAGAACATGCCACTAGCATGGTGTCACTAAAATGTGTTTTTATTGTAGTGAATTAAAAAAAAAAACACTTCCTAAAACACCACTAAAAAGTCACTTCTCCTCATCCTCCTTTCACTTTGAGTCACTGTCAGTCAAGCTAAATTATTTTTAGATAGAAAAGGCAAGTAAAATGAAAAAGAAAAAAAAAAAAAATTGAAACTTAAATTTATTCACATTTTTATCAAATTTTTTTAATCTTTATCCAAATTCATGATTTAAATACAATCTTAATATAATGAGTAGATCACATTAGTGTATTTTTCTTTTGCATAGATATAAGTTTCACAACTATAAACATCACATGTACGTGAGAGAAAAATATAATACGATAATATACTTGTTGCACAAAATAGCACATCCTGATACGTGGTGCTAGAGTCATAAGACTACATGAGCGTACTGCGATTATTGAACATGAAGCTAGGAACTAAAAAATAAAATAAAATCATGTGTATCGAAAATGAAGATAAGAATCCATCATACGATGAGCATAATTCTTGGTGCATAAGAAGCATAATAGTAAAAATTAAGGTATTGAGAGGGTAATTTATATGAAAATTGGGCCGAGTTGGGTAATGGGCCGTTATGTTCCACAGTACAAAGAGCTGAGTAAAAAGGCCATGAAGTTACTCCGGGCCAAGGAAGGTATAAAGTTACTCTAGCCCAAGAGAGGTGTAAAGTTACTCCGGTCCGCGAGAGACTTGAAGTTACTCTGGTCCCAAAAAGCTACGGTTAGCTCGATCACCATACTAGAAGTTATACCGGTCATGACGCTATGGTATTAGATCGGTCGGAACCATGCTAATTGTTAGCTCGGTCCAATTATGCTATGGTTTGTACAGGAGGAACCGAGGTAGAGTTATCCCGGTCTGATCTGCAGCTTAGCATAGCTATGCTTAGCTCGGTCATATTGGAGTCCGACCATAGAAAAACCATCTCACTTGGTTTAAGCAGTGAGGGGGGTGTTGAAGGATAAGCATTATCTTTCAGGAGTGTGAATCCAAGGAGGACTCTACATGGAGGAGTAAGAGTCCTACTAGGATTGTACCACGCGGAACCTATAAAAGCTCACAACATCACTTTCGGAGAGGTAACACAACTTTGATTCTCGAATACACAGAGCTTTTGTCTATTTGTCTATTTTGTTGACTTAGGCATCGGAGAGGTATCCGGCATACACCCGCCGGCTAGCTCACGTTTGTGTTTTCAAAGAGTAAAGCGACGTCGTATGGAGGAGCACAAACTTGGTCAACGGGATTATACGAGAAGGTTTATTTCTTTCCCGTACAATTGGCGCCGTCTGTGGGAATTAACAGAACGAACGAAACCTCTTGATCAAGCCTTTCCTCTTTAGAATCAATGGCGTACAACGAAGATTTGCCGCAGTCCGCCATTGATGGACAAACACCAGAAGAAGGTGGGAGGCGCGAAGGTTTGCCTCCTGTCCCTCCCATGGCGGACTTGGAGCCCCAACGACATAACCCCAGGAGGGATGCTAGGGGGAGGTGGTATAATAGCCCCCGTCACTCTCGATCACAAAGTCCTGACAAACAAAGACGGAGGATTGATCCTCAAGTTCTGGAATACCGCGTGAAGGAGAAGGACGAATTAATACGACGGATGGCGGCGGACATGGAGATTATGAAGGGCCAGATGAAGGGAAAAGGGGTGGCGACAGGAGAGGGGCGCAAAAGCAAGACGCCCCCTCGCCACTCAGAAGACCATGGCAGGAATTCCACACCATCACAAGCAGAGAATAGAAGCCTCAGGACAGGCGATACTCAATCCAGAACCTCCAGGACTCGTCGTTCCAGATCCGAGAGAACGAGGACTGAGAGGTCATATACCGAGGGAAGCACCTATCGGCCCTCGAGCACACACCAGACATCATCCAGGCAGTCAGAGATGCTTAGATCTTCCGACTTGCGAAATATGCTAGAAGAGAGGGCATGATGGAAGGAGGACACCGGGGCGCGCGACCCCCGCAGAGTTTCTGCCCTTCAACGATTGGCTCCTCGGACGCATGAAAGCGTCGAGGTCAGAATGCCATTACCACGCCTTGCCTACGAACTAACGGACAAAGCATTAACGAGGCTGCAGACCTCGCCGTTTGTTCTGGCAATTGAAAACGCGCCCCTACCTTCAGGTTTCCTTCAGCCCAAATTCACTATGTACGAGGGGAAGACGGACCCCTACATACACCTAAGCCACTTTCACCAGGTTATGGCGGTATATCAGCGAAACGAGGCTCTGATGTGCATCCTCTTCCCATCAAGCCTTGGCGACCTAGGCTTGACTTGGTTCGAAAAACTTCCAGAAGGTAGCATAGCCTCCTGGGCGCAATTGGCGGAGGCGTTCATAACAAGGTTCAGAACGAACACCAAGACTCCGGTAGAGATTGATCAACTGCTCTCCATCGACATGGGCGAAAAAGAGTCACTAAGATCCTACAATAGTCGCTACTGGGAGACATTCAACCAGATTGGGGACTACCCCACCAATCTTGCCATTATACAATACAAAAGAGGTCTTCCAGTCGGGAACAGACTAAGGGACTCAATCACCATGACACCGCCCCTCACCATGGAGGCCTTGATGGAAAAAGTGCATCAGCACATCAGGGTGGAAGAGGATGGCGCTTGTTCCAAAACAAAATCTGGCATGACTGCAATACCAGAGAAAAAGGCCTCAGCAAAGGTCAACACGGTAGACCGTCCGAATAAAAACGGACGAGGCAGGCGAGACAACGGAGAAGACCAGGATAAAAGATGGTTGAGAGTCCGCACTGCCATAACCACGATATTCAAGAAAATCGATCTATCGGATTTTGAGAGAAATACACGATGAGCCTTTCGTACGATGGCCCGCTAAGCTAGGAGAAGCACAGAAAGACTACGACGAAAGATCGCGATGCACCTTCCACAAAGAAAAGGGGCACCGCACTGAAAATTGCATGCCATTGAGACAGCATTTGGAGGAATTGGTGGCAGCCGGTCACTTGGATAAATACATTGAAGGAGGGATGCAACCAGCCCCCCAGGACCACAATAACCCTAACGGGATGCCAATTGACGCCCCGCCTCAAGGCGTAATCAATGTGATTCATGGAGTATTCGAACCCGAGTGTGTATGCGAGCTCAGAGGGTCGATCAAGAAGGCTGAGCACTTAAGGGAGGTACTAAGCGCTCAACCTACCATCAAAAAGGGGAGAACAGAGCCTACAAATGTCATCTCCTTTTCAGACAGAGACTTGGCCAGAATATACTGCCCTCACAATGATGCGCTAGTCGTCACTCTCCGCATCAAAGATTACGACATCAAGCGGATTTTGATTGACCATGGAAGCTCGTGTGAGATCATGTACTACGACACCTTCAAACAACTAAAGCTAGAAGACAAGGACTTGGCACCTGCTGTATCCCCCCTGATTGGATTCAACTCAATGCCAGAGTGGCCAGTCGGCAAGATTATCCTTCCAGTCAGGGCAGGAAGTGTGACAAAACAAGTGGATTCTGGGTGTGGAAAGTCCCCTCTACTTACAACATCATCTTGGGCAGAACATGACTGCATGCCATGCGGGCTGTAACTTCATCCTACCATCAAGTAATGCGATTCCCCAACGAAGCCGGGGCAATTGAAGAAGTCTATGGAGACCAGATCATGTCCAAGCAATGCTTTGTCACAGTAAATGGCAGCCGCGCTGCCAAGGGATATGTCCATTCGGTGGAAGAACCAGAGAGCAATGAACTGTTCGCAGATGTCGGCAAAGCAGCTGATCAAAAAGCGGTGGAAGACTTGGTAAAGGTAGGAATAGATGAAAAGAACCCGGATAAGTTCTTTTTGCTCGGTTCGTCGTTGTCCAGCACTGAGAGATTAGAGGTCTTGGAATTTTTGACCTCTAACATCGAAGTGTTCGCCTGGACTCCATACGACATGCCAGACATTGATCCCAACTTCATCTGTCACCAACTCAATGTCCACCCAACAGCCAGACCAATCATTCAGCGCACTTGCAGATCGACACTCCACCACGCCAAGATAGTGGCGGAAGAAGTAAAAAATCTGCTAGAGGCTGGAGCTATCAGAGAGGTGCACTACCCTAGATGGATTTCCAACACAATCGTGGTACCAAAAAAGAATGACAAATGGCGTGTCTGCGTCGACTATAAGACAGTCAACAAAGCATGCCCAAAGGATAGCTTCCCCCTACCATGGATAGATCAACTGGTAGACCTAACGGCAGGGCACAACAACTTAGCTTTCTTGATGCGTACAGAGGCCACCATCAGATCGCC